AAAACAAAAAAAAATGTTATAAAATTGAGAACACGGAGAATAAATTATAATGGGAGGGTAATCAGGTTTGAGAGCGATTGTGCAGTCTTACATGCCAGACAACTTCTTCTTTGTTACTTAATTAAAGGAATGGACAAAAAAATAACCCTTTCATAAATCATTGCAAACTAAAAATAGATAAGAGAATAATTTAACCCCACATTTTGCTTACTTTTTAAACTTTATATCATGAAAATTCAATTGAAAACAAAAAGAACAAATCGAAATGTGATGACAGTCAAGTTTGAGAACAAACTAAAATGGGATGGTAAACAAGTTTGAGAGTCTTTCGACAGTTTAAGATGCCTGACGGCTTTGTGTTTCTCACTTTTTAACTAATTAACTAATAATAAAAAAATAGGTAAACCTCCTGCAGTTTTACACACCATCGCCATGTAAATATCTTTCTTTTGCCCCCGAAAATACAAATCATTTAAACAATTAACCAGACCGTCTGGCCAACTGATTCAATTGAACTCGGCAGACTGATCAACCGCGAACCGCTCCCTTTTCCCTCCAGAATCCAGTTGTTTAATGTTTAAACAGTTCATTGGACGCTGTACTTGTTTTTATTTTTTTTTTATATATTTTCCACCCGTTGTTGCCTTGTTTTTATTTTTTATTTTCACATTCCGCTCGACAATTATGCATTATTTACAAAAGTTAATTGCCGACGCGCAACTGCATTGTTCAACAAGGGCCACGCCCACTTGGAGGAGGGCAATTAACAACATTATTGACTGTGTTCGCCGGCAAATTGGGAAAATGGGTAAAAAGGGAGGAGGACCCACAAGCGGCACTTTGAAATGCTAATGAAATTGCCTTTTAAAGCAGAAGCTGAATGCTGCTGAAAGCTGAAAACTGAAAAACGAAGAAATGAATAGCAGCTGAATATGTCCTCTTCGTGCTCTGTTTTTTTTTTTTTGCTTAATTGATAAATTGATTAAATTGCGAAAAGCCTTAATTGCATGACCACATCAGTCACAGCACACTGAGTGCAATCCTTCGAAATTTAACATTTAATTTGACTCGGTTGGCAAATTGCATTGCCATTGTCCCTATTCCAAGGAAGCTACGTTAATGCGATGTATTTTGTCAGCATTTGAAGTGTCACATCAGGTTCGGATTCGCAGTATTCAATTGGATTTGGCTTTGTCTGCTCCTCTCGACTGTGGTGGCCATTTTGAAGGATAAATTACTGATTTTGTCTATTGTCTGCGCTGCCTGAGTTAGTTACTATTGGTCAGCATTCGGTTTCAGTAGCGTCTAATCCTGCAAAATGTGATTTTGTAAACACACAGAAAAAAAAGAAGAATATAAAAGGGGAATTTTATGAGCAAAGTATAAACAAATTGTACTTTTTATGTTGAAAATAAGTAATTTTCTGGATTAAATGGATAGAAATTAAAAAACTAATCATTTTTGCTTTAGTTTCCTGAATATTTTAAAGTTTTAATTTTGTATAAAGTTCCTTAGAAATGGTTTCAAGTCTTTTCGTTTAAGTTCTCTTAAAAATATTTAATGTACTTTTCTTCTATATTTAGCATATTTAACATTGTGTAAGATTTAGTGAAAATCAACACATTCTTTTACAAATTCATCTGAATTTTTATGGATTTTGTCCCATATTTTTCATTTTTTTAACTATTTTACACGTTTATCAGAATTTTTAAAGATTTTGTTGTTGTTAGACTAAGTATTATTTTAACCTTAATTGTACTTATAACATTTTGCAAAGCCACATATCCATCTTACTAAGTAAAGCTTATCGCATAAAATTCGAGGCCCAGCCTTAACCATTTGATTACCCATTGGCTCGTCATAATCATCGGACGTTTTCCTTCGATCCCAATTTTATGGTTATCTGAGGTTGTGCCAATCCTTTGCCAGCTCAACACTTTCCAAGTTTTGGAAGTTTTCGGTGGCTGTTTAGGTTTTAGTACCCGTTAAGTCCTTCGGTATAAAAGTAGAAACGAATTCCATGTGCCCCAGGCATAATAGGTTTTGTCACTCCCACTCTTTCTGGCAGTCATATATCTCTTTCATCCTCTCTCTTTCTCCAGATCCTTGCAAATTTATTGCATTTACTCGATGAAGTTTTCCGCACTTTTTCTTCATTCCTGCTGGCCTTTTTCCTTTTGTGGTTTTGCTTTGATTTAATTTGGCTGCTGCTGGTGTCTCTACTCTGTAGCATATCCTTCCAGTTCGTCCTGTGAATTTTCCCTGGGCTCCCTGCAATTTGCGAGCTTTGTTCAATTGGCTTTTCTCGTGTCCTGGTGTCCTGCCAATGTCCGAGTTTTGTGTTCTCGCCATGTCCTGTCACTCATGCGTCAGCGGTATTTGTTTGGATGTCGGCGCTTTAAATCTACCCGGGGTAGAAAACTTTTTAAAGTTTAGAGATTTTCTTGGCAGATCTGCCAAAACTTGCCTGCCACATTATGCTTATTTCATATTTTGTGGTGTGGTGGTTCATATGTTGGGGAAAGAACATAACCGGAGTTGATGTAATGCTGTGTGGCAACTCGGGTTTTTGCGGTGGAATTGCATAATGCATACACCAAACGTCAAGATAATAGCACAAAAAATAACGAGAAAAGTAAATGTATATTAATTGCACTCAGTATATTTAGGAATAAAGGACTATCATACATAATTAGAAAAAAAATAACCATAAAAATTATGGCTGACTTAAATGCCATAAGTTATTTTTTATTTATTTTATTTTAAATATTTCAATTACTTCTTAAATTAGGGAATTGTTTCTTAAATCAAGTATTTATCTTTTTTGGATTTGTAGATAGATTGCAGTAAAAATTAAACAAATTTAAAATATAACGAAAAAATTCCTGTCGTGAAAACATAAAAGAGTTTCATGGCATGAATTTTTTTTTGCATTTTTTCACAACAGTCGACACATTTGAATGTTGATATGTTTGAAATATTTATAGTTCTATAACTCAGCACTGTACTGTGACTTTCCCCCGCTTTTCAAAAAAATCAGCCAACTCCCTTTTGGTTTGTACTTTATGTTCAACATATTTTATTGATTACATTTCCAACTCCAGCATTTCCAACTGCGGCCACTTTTCCGTCGTGTTTTGGCACAACTTTATGAGATTTCTTTTCCCCCACCGACGACTGAAAGATGATTTTTGGGGGCATTTCGCATTGCATTTCGTGTGGACAACGGAGTGTTCCTCATTCCGCCGTTGAGTTGGCAAATAAATTGCTTATTTGTAGCGACGATTTGCGGTAATTTGTGATTTGTGTGTGTGGTGGGTGGTGACATCATCCTTTTGCGACAAGGGTGGAACTTGTGTCTTAGTCTCCCTTGGGCTGCATATTTGCCCTGGCTATTAATTAAACATATTTGCTGCTCTGACTTGCAGCTTATGGCTTGCCATAATTTATTTCGTCTGCCGCCAGATGATGACTATTAGTGAGAGTACAAGAAATGGGAAAAAATCAAAGAATTTTATGAGAAATCTAAGCTTTTTTTGCTGGTACTTTTTTGCCTTACTCTCCTTGATTACAATTTATTGACTTTTTCGAAGGGAAAATCCCCTTTTTGGCGAATTTGGCACGCCCACTTGTGTGCATATCGTTAGCAAATTGCAGGCTCACCAGGACACCCGAAAAAGGATTTGCATGTGTGTTGGCGGTAAGCTAATATCCAACCAATTTCCGTTTGACTCGTTTCGCGTTTTCCTCTTTCTCTTTTTTTTGGCTAAGGGATACCAGGGAGACCAGGTAAACTTGGCCAACATGCTGGTACTGCCTTTTGTGTTTCCGTTTTAGAAATTGGAAGGCAAAAAGCTTCGCGTACCGCCTCTCCAGTGTCCTTCGTGATTTCACCCGTTTTGTGTCCTTTTTTCCAGCGCTGCCATATAAATTTGTACAAAAGCTTAGGCAATTTTTTCACCCTTTTGTTTGCATGTAGCGTCGTCCTCGTCTTCGACTCATTTGCATATTCGGCACATTCAAAGTACCCTCCATGTTTGCCCTGAACACCCACTAAAAACCCCTGACCATTTATACTCATTCTCCTTTTTATGAGCTGTGACTATCAATGGTTTTTGGTTAAAGCCAAATTTAGAGTGTTTCGGAATTTGTAATTTTGTTTTAGCAAAATAAACGAAGGCTAAACGCTTAAACAAATATTTATATATAAGAATATCAGTGTTATTACTTTTAAATTGTATTTATAAGTGTATGTAAATTTAGTTTTTAAAAGCTCATAGAAATATTTTCTCCAATTGATGGTTTTTCACGTTGTTTAGTAGAAAAGACAAATATTAGCAAGTCAATGTTAATAATACATTTTTGTGTTAATTTAATATATAAGAGTAAATTGTTAATATATATACTTGGTATTAAGTTGTATTGATATGTTTAAAACATATAATTTCTAAAATAAAAGCAACATTTTAGCTTTTATTTCTATGCTTAATTTATGTATTTTAAATAGTTTTTTAAACCTCATTAAAATATTTTCTCCAATTTGATGGTTTGTTTTACAAATTTGTCATTTGGGTTTCAAGTTGATTGGAAGAAAATGTAAACATCAGGAAGCAAATGTCAGATTCAGGGCAAGGAGTCAGGAAAAGAGGACCACAGGCCTGTGGTTTCACAGCCACAAAAACCACAAAGAGCTTGGCATATTGACCCGAAAAAAGGGAGGCAGTCCAATAGGCGTTGATTGGCATCCTCCCTCCTTTCACCTATAGTTAACTGTCAAAACTAATGGCTCGAAGGGTGCAAAACTGTAAAGTGAAGTTGTGTGTTGGCCCCCAAAACTGAAGTGGCTTTCCTGCCACTTGAGCGTTTATGGATATTGACATCTCAATGGCCGGCTCTTGTAATTTAATTAGGGCAGTTTTTCCCGGGAGTGGAAATCTAAACCTGAAGAAAACTCGAACTAAACTGTGGCTTTTTCCTTTGTTTTCCCATTTTTCTTGCAGCAATTTCCCGCGAAGACGGCGACGAGTCGACGCACCACCATCACCACCACCATCACCATCGCGGTGGACATGGCGGGCACCACAACCACGGTAACAAAGTTCCATACAACGGCTACAATTCGGAGGAATACTTGGACCGACTCGAGCCGAATGGCAATATACCCGCTGACAAGACAAATTGCAGATATGGAGGTGAGTTATTCAATTTTCTTAAATAAAATTCTGTTCTAAGGTTATAAGACTTAAAATAACTTTTAAAGGTGCCCGAAAGTATGCAATATAGTATTTTGAAATATTTCAAACGGAATTTAAAACTTAAAATATATATATTATAACTGGTTTCAAAACTTTAGTGGTTTGTGGTGGCACCCAATAACTTCAAAAAGCGTGGAAAAGTAGGCACTAAAAAAGTAAACGTCGTTTTTCGATATAAATCCAAAGGGCCTTTAGACCCAAAATGTATTGCTGCATACTTTTACATTCCTTTATAACTATTTCCATTAAGAAAAGAGGAATATATTTTTACTTATAACACAATTGTAGTTTCCTCATAAGCATCTTGCCAAAATTTAAGCCCAATCTAAGCCCCGAAAAGGCCCATTCATAAGGCTTTGCCTAATTTATCGCCCGCTTGTGCAATAATCTCTCATTTAAGCTGCCCTCCTCCACCGAAACTAATTTAATGATAAGATGCCACGGCCCTCACTCTCCGATTTTCGCCCAGACTGACTGGCAATAATTTATGCCTCCATCTTATGTGAGCAGCGTGTCTAATTATGGAAGCCAGTTCCATTTTCCCAGCTTTTCCTTTTTTCCTTGCTGCATCTGGGGAATTCCCTTACTTCGATTTAACATATTTTCTTGCACAGAAAAGAAACTCTCCAAAGTTAACTAAATAATCTTCTAATTTCTTGTCAAAATCAAATATATAATAATTCAGTACTTAAAAACTTGGTCACTAAAATTTTTTAAAATAAATAAATAATAAATAAATTACAATTTCGAACCAAAAAATTAATATTTAAAGCAAATATAGCAATGGTTTTGATGGAAAAGGAGTTATGCTCAAAAATAACTAAACAGGTCAATATTATGTTTTACATTTTTAAAGAATATATTGATTCCATTTGACACATTTTTTTCTCTGTGTACTCCTACTACAAGGCAATTTATCAAATTTTTGTCTCATTTAGCTAATGCAAACAAGTTTTTTCTGTTCCATTTCGCCGTTTAAGCTTATCTAAGCGAAAATTTCCCCTGATAAGCGTGGCTCGCTGTCATCATTTCCCTGCCACTGTTTTTCTCATAATTGTAAATTGCAATTTTATGCAAACAATAGATGTTGGGGTGGTGGTGAAAACAAAAAGTGAGGTAGCCAAGACGAGACTCGTTGACATTGCCGATAAGGCTGTGAATGTAATGGCTTCATTTGTTGCTCGTGCACTTGAAGCTGTTGCTCCTTGTTATTGTCCTTGTAAAGCGGGGCACTCAACTTGAATGTACTCCCTTTTAATGTCTCCCCGCATATATTGTATGTCCTTTGTCTTACCGATGTCTAGGCCTTGCGGAATCGAGCCATAAAACAACGGAAATGGAAATATTAACAAGCAAGTGCACACCAACAAGGGAATTATTCATAACCAAATGGAAATTGTGCATGCTCCATATATCTTTCCCGGGTTTTAAACTCAATACCATTATTGTTGTTTCGCTGCCATTGAAAGGGCATTTTCCTCACCAGTTTTCTGTTTTTCCTCCAAGTTATTGCCTTCTGACATTGAATTCCATCGGGTTTGTTGTTATGGTGCCTAGATTATTGTAAAACAAAGTCGTTAAACTATTCCTGTGAAAGGGAAATGCATTTTGGGATGGCAAAAGGAAGGGAAAAGTGTTTACGCAATGTCATGACACGAATATTTGCAGTTGCCAGGTATTTGCTTAGTTGGCAAACAATTTTAAGCGATATTATCAGGGTTTAAAGTGGTTCAATTTGACTAGAAGCTGCTTGGTAGTATTTAGTAATTAAATTATTTATTCAATATGGTTTTCTACAGCATTTTTCAGAAAACCAAGTTGTCTTAACTTCAATAAGTTTATTCTTACAAAACAAAAACCAAACTATTTTGTCACAGCTCACAGAACTATTGATGCAAACTTTTTAATTCCCTTATCTTTCGAAATCAATTCTGTGGGAGTTTTTTTTAAGCCACCCTCTGCCCACGCAATCATAAAGTTATATAACGCACAATAAATTACAGAGTTGTGAAAGCCAGCAGAGAAATTCCACCCAGTTAGCAACGAACATCCTCCACATCATTCCCCCGGAATTTTTCCAGCCCCTTTTCCTATCAGCAAAAAGCAATTTCAGTTTTTCATGCTGTACCCATTTTTTTTTTGCTGTTCTGATTACATGATTTATAAGTTATCTTCAGCAACAAACAACGACAATAACACTGTTTGCCATTAGAGGGGGAAAAGCTGAGGATATGAACAATTTATGTTCAACGCTTTCGCAAAAGATTATTGTTTATATGCGTAAATTATGCCAACATGGCTGTGTGTAAAATGGCGAAAAACATATTGGCGAAAAAGAATTCGCATTAAACTGTTTAAAAACAACCACGACAATGATGGTAAATCATGTTTTACAATTATGCGTGAAGCATAAATATAAAGGAATAAATTTAATTTGCCAAGGCAAAATCCGAAGAGGCTTTGAGTGCGGTGATAAAGTGTGGGAAGGTTTCTTTTTTTAAAGGCGCGTAATTCCACCTGTAAGCTACTTTTATGGGGTGAAAGACGAAGAAGGTCCTTATATAAACTCTACTCAACTTGCACATAAATCCTTTTAACGCTTTATTTGGCTTCTGACGCGCTTTTTCTTCTGCCATCCCTACTCCTTTGAGTTTTTGTTTATTTTTATTTGGTACTTTGACTCGCTGGATCCTGTGCGTTTGTTTGTTTTTAATGCCGCTTCCTTGGTCCCCAATTTCCCCTTTTTTTCGCTCCTTGGGCAACTGTCTGTGATTTAAATTTATTGGCAAAATACTTAAAGAAAATCTTTTTGTTTCACTTTGTTTGGTGTACGTGGTGGTGTTGCTTTTTCCTAACAACCCTTTTGACAATTTTCGGTCTGGTTTTTTATACCTTTCACATCTATTAAAGGGTCTTTCTTGCGGTTCATTTTAAAATTCTAACTGGCAGCCGCAACCGGAATTCACCCAACGCCTTGCGGTTTCGGCGGCGTCTTTCTTGTGGCTTCCAGAAAAGCCACCCACCATCCACCACCCACTCACCCCTTTTGAGGTCATAACCTCCACCTCCTGTCAGAATCGTTGCAGTTTATTAACGAAGCAAAAACATGTCGCCTTCGCTGACTTGTTTTTTCCGCCGCATTTCCCCAAAACCATTCTATGTTTTAATGATTTAGATATTTTTTTTGTTTTTCGGTTGGAGAATTTTCTTGGTTTTCCTTTGGTTTCTCCTTTTTGTTTGATGTGAGACAATTTTTTTCGGTGGTTTTCGTTCGTTTTTTGGTTGGGCTAATGAAGCGGCTTATGCAATGACATGGAAAATTTGCGGTCCGCGTTCTTCTCTTCGTTTGATTTTCTTCTCTTCCCCTTTTTTCGAGTGTTTTTCCAGCCACTACACAGCATTTGCATGACGTTTGAAGCCAAAGGGTGGCAGAAATGGTCTAAAAAAAATGGGTGTGAGCTTATCAAAAGGCCAAAGGCTTTTTTTTAGCTCTGATAAATGAAAAGTTTGCTAATTGGCTTGTTTAAAAGGGCTGCCACAGTGGATAACTGTGGCAAATGCACAAGTATAACAACTCTTTGAACCACAAACCGAGTTCATTAGCTGGGGATGGGGCTGCCAACTTGATTTATGCTCAAATTTGGAATGTGCATAGAGATAATTTAGATCAAAACAAGATAAAAATGGAGAATTTCTAATATTAAAAATGTGATTACAACTCTTTGAGCCACAAACTCTATTCATAAGCTGAGCTTATAAATGCCAACTTGATTGATGCTTAAGTTTGAGATGGGCACAGAGATAAATTTGATCTAATCAAAGTAAGACTATTAAATTTCTAAAAGTAGGATGGGATTTTTTTTGAAAAAAATTCCATTTCACTAATACAAAATGAATTTGAGTATAATGTTATTTTTTGCTGCCAAATTGTTTAATTAAGGTGGTGGCCACACGCTTAATAATGATGCTGCAGGATGGGGATGTCAACTTGAGTTAAGCTTAAATTTGAGATGTACATAAAATTAAATTTGATCTAATCAAAGTTAGAATAGGAAATTTCTTTAATTAGTATGTAATTTCTTTTGAAAGTAATTCAATAATACAAAGTTGCATTTGAGTGGAACTCTATTCTTGTGTATTAATGCTGTACCCAAAAGCTACCTCCCAAATTTCGGACTTAACTAATGCAATCAATTTTCTGTGAAAACTTGGTCTGCACAACTAAGCAAAGTGAAAGCTTTATAACAATCTAAAGTCGAGCCACGCCCTACCAACTTTTGGCATACCACTAGCAATTTTCACCATTGTCCTACTCCTTATACCAAAAAAAAAAAGAAGAAAACCCCCCCTTCCGTTTGTATGACGAAAAAGAAAATTGTCCAGAAAATATCTTTTGACAATTCACCGCTTTATGCATACTAAGCTCATTATGGCACAGAGAACATCCTTTTATATTCGTCTTTTTTTCGTCTTTATTATTCCTTAACCGAAGGGCGGTTCTCAAAAATGTGTTGCAAAACTTTTTAATAGTAGTTGCCCAGCCATCACCCCCGACGGTTTGATGAGCTTTTCTATTTTATTGCATCTTGCTGTGGCTAACAATGTCCCATGGGCAGTGCCACGCCCCCTGGCCCAAGAAAGTGGCACAATATTAAAATTCTCGCTTGTCATTATAAATTCCTTGGCCCAACATCGCTGGATATAATAAAAACAATAATGGGACGAACAAACAACAGAAAGTGGACAACAGAGCCTTAAATGGTTTTACTTCTTTAAGTTGTTAATGTGATCTAGATGCACAGGGAGAAATTGTCTATGAAATAAATTAAAAAATTATTAATGACTACAAATATTTTTGTATGTATTTTATTTTAAAATTAATATAATATTATTATTTTTATAATATTAAGAGTTTAAAATGAACATTTTTTAGAAAA